AACATGTGCATTTGTGGTCACTCAGTCTCACACTCTAGTTACAGGGTAACCAGCAAAGAAGTTCCCGAGAGGTTCCTGGAATTCAAAGACACACATGCTTTTGAACAGAACAAAAGCTTTCACATCATTTAAACAATAAACGAAAAACTATGAATTCATGGTTTAAGATTGTATACTTGTTTACATTGAATTTCAAATAAAAGGACTTTCCACATTGGTATTTTTCCTTAAGAGCTGCAACATATACATACATATAAACATTTCTGTTTTTAAATAAAACAATTATCCTTGAGTATAAATTCTTTTAGTTCTGCATCATCTTTTGCTGTTCAAGTCATGTTATCCCTTCCCTACCCCTACTTGCATTTAAATAAGAGAATATTCTCATTTGAGTTATGTAAAATATTTTGTAAATAAAATTTTAAAATTATTTTTGACTCGCAAGGAAACTTCTTTTAACCCTAACTCTCCCCTAAGTATACCCAGTGGACATGATACAGGTAGTAACTATAGAAACATCTACTCTGATAGTGCTATGAGCTGAAAGTGTAAGCACAAACCAGCAAATTCCCATTTCAGGTAGCACAAATGGTTCCCAAAGGTGTCATAAAACAAAGATACTAAAGATAGTAAAAGAATTATATATCTATTTACATATAACATTACCTCACATCATTTTCCCATTATTTCCATTGTAATTTAAAAGAGTATTTTGGTTTCAGGGCATAAAAATCATGTTTGATGATTTTTATAAAGAAATATTTTATAAAGGTCATAACCAAGCTGAGTGCATCCCATTTTCTCTCCAAGGCCTATAGTAAATTCAAGTTTCCTTCAATAAAATATTGACTAGCTAACTGGTGGTTCTTCAGGATCTTGTGAACATTGACTGTGATGGCTGACCCAGATGCCGATCATCAGACGAGCCTACAGAACTACTGCCATTCGGCAACTGACATGTCCCGTTAGATTTCAAAATAAATTTCAGAGCATCGGGATACAAGCACAAAAAACAAAGTTAACTATACTACACCATAAAGACAGAACTTATAACCAGATCCTTCAATCAAAACCCACCCCACAAAAACAAAAGCTTTAAACCCTAAAATTAAAAAGACTAAAGTCATTTATTTAATGAATATTCCAAAGGCACATATGTATACTTACTCAAATTATTTTGATCAGCTTAGTTCAATTGTTCTCTGTGTTCTATCTTCTGTTCCATCAGTTACTACTGAGATGTACAAAGACTGCTTTTTAAGCCAGTAAAATAAGCTTAGGATTCCAGCTAATATTCAGGGCAGACAGACCAGCTATGCTATAACGAGAACTAAAACCATCTGCTAGTGAGTTCCTCCAGGATTCCGTGGAGAGAGGGACATGCATCACAACAGATTTCCTGTGCTCCGTGAAGCCCTTACTAGAGAACAAACGTGTGCTCCCGGCATGGATGATCTGTGACAGAGGGGACAGCGGAGGCCCAGTCATACTCAGTGGACGGAGGGATTGAGGAGGAGTCCACAGGTTTAAGGACAACCCTGCATCACCCAGACTACTTGTCTCTTCTGCTGCAAATTGGTATAGTCAATGATAAGCTTAAATTAAAAAAAATAGGAAGTTAGGGTAAAATGTGCCAAAGGTGAGCATATATTCAAAATAGCTTCTTTGGATTAAATTGTCATTAAGACAGTAGGGATATTTGGTTTGACTTTTAAGGAACATTATTCATGGCAATGTCCCATTTAAAATCACACTGCAATTAGAAATATAGCAACTACCGTGGCATTTACAGTTGTCAAAAAGCTTCACAATCGGTTTCATGATCAGAAAATAAAGCAAGATTTCAGTTCATTTTCTTTACAAAATTGTTGTATTTCTGAAATATAAAGGATTGTTTGCTTTATAAAAATGTCAGCTCTGCCACGTGGTGTTCCAGAGATCTGACCTCAAAAGCTTCTCAAGTTTTACCGTCCACAGAATCTTTATTTGTAACTGAGACTCATCTGTTGTTTTCCATTTGAATCTGGAAACAATTAAGACAATTCGTTTCTGCTTTACTTTTAAAATAAAAATTGCAAAATTAAATAGTATCTATTTTCTTTTGCATTTTCCTTTAGACTAATTTTTTAAATGTGAGTTTAAGATACACAAATTATCTTACCTTCTTCAGCAGTTTATAGCAAAGTGAGAGAAGTTGGACCAAAGTAGCCATTATGCATCTTGTCTTTGTAATACTCTTATCAACCTATAGTGACAGAAAGCAAGCAAATCAAATTCTTATAAGGAGGCCTTCAAAAGACTTTGTCATTTAGTTTGAAAATGGTAAAAATTTCTTCATTATGGAAACCTAAGGGATCTCAAAGGGTATACAGATTAAGGCATCTGAGCTGACTTGATGACCTGAGGTCCCAGAACACAGAAGCAGGGACTATTGCCCAAGTCTCATGCCAATTTCATGGACCCCAGGAAGAATGGATGGGAAATCAACCTGTTCTATTTCAGACAGTTTAGGGGCTTCTCAAAGGGCACCAAATAGTGGCAGCGAACCCTATTCTTTGCAATTCTTTGCACTCTACTTTTTTGCACTCAAACTCCCCAAAACAAACAACAGAAGCCCTTCACTCTGAGGGGTCTGTGCCCTAGTCAGTCAGGTGATGATGCTGGGATTTAAGGGTAGCTGCTCCGTGCTATGGTATTAATCACGTCCAAAAAGCTAATTTACTTGGTGAACCTACTGCTTCCTGGGGTCAGTTATGACTGCAGATAATAAATGGTTCTTGCAGCCAAGGCAGGAAAGATGGAAATAAATTGTTCTTCTGTGGGTATTAACACTTTATTTGAAGAAAAAGGGGCTGGAAGCTAACCTAATAAAAAAAGAAGTGTGAAAGTTTCTCAAGCGCTTTCCTGAATGTCCCACCCTCCCTTTTACCTTTAGAAACACTTGATTCTGCAAAGGTGTCTTAGTTACTGCCTGGAGCTGGTGGCACAGAGGAACAAGCTTGTTTATTTCCAGGAGAAGCATAAGCTTATCATCATCTTTCAGCTGAAATGTAAATAAGGAAGTTATAACAACTCCAATGAAATTCCATCTTTTAAACCTTAAATACCTTTATACCTTAATAATATACCCTCAAAGTGGGTATTTATGACATCACCACCAGCACCAGGCAAGGATATGTGCATTACCTGTTTTGAGAAAGCTTGCACACTTGAAGCAAGCTTCAAACCCTCTTCAGCAAAAACCTGGTAGAAAGGAAAAGCATCACTACATTAGGCGTATGTCGTCTAGATAGTTGGTAAGAAATACAGTCATGGATAATTTTCATACAGAATTTAAAAAATAAAACCTAAACATAAAAGGTCTGTCATGGAACTTGTATGTTTTTTGTTGTATCCAGGAAAACACAAGAGTTTAACAGTATTCAGAAGCAGATTTCCCAGACCTGATGCAGAATCAGTCCCTGCAGTGGCTCCCCTACACCGGGACACCTCCAATTACTGTGCAGGATCACACAGACATTTGATACTTAGCCATAAAAATTATGCCTGGGCTTTTAGATGGATCCGAAGCTCATCTCATAATATCCCCAATTATAAGAGGGTG